TATTATCAAGGAAAGAAGCTCTCAAAGCTTGGAAACAACAGGACATGACATCAGAAAGCCTAAAGTCCAAATAAGTTGGTTTTAGTAACCCGGAATGGGCTGTTCCAAAACTAGAACGGGCTGTTCCAAGTTACAAAAAAGGCCTAAAACCCTAATTTAGAACGGGTGTTCCAAGTTCCTAAAAAAGGCTAAAACCTAAGTTTGGAACGGGTCGTTCCTAAAACTGGAACGGGCCACTCCTAAACTGGAACAGGTCATTCCAAGTTACAAAAAAAGCCTAAAATCTTAGTTTGGAATGAGTCATTCCAGCATAGGCAGTAATGTGTTAAACTCACCTCTGGAACGGGCCGTTCCAAGATATGAAATTAACAAATAACGTATAGATCCAGAACGGGTCGTTCTAAATCTGGAACGGGCTATTCTGGCAACTTTTTGATGTCTATAAATAGCAGACTCGGACACAGTTCTCAGGGCTACAAAATTTCATCCAAGACTCCTTATAGCTTGAAATTTCTCTCTTTTTCCCTCTTATTTCTTGAGTTTTGTGAGGCATATTGTAGTGTGAAATGTAGCAAAAAAACGCCTAAAAGTCTCCATATTTGAAGATTCAATAGAGCTCGTTCAAGAGGTATTTCAGTCAATCTTCTTCTCTCCCTTTTATTTCTTATCTTTGATAAATATTGTTATAATTAATCATGTAGACATTTTAGAGTCAATCGCTTAATTTAAATTTGAGCATGTAATTAATCATTCATAAAGGGGATTAAATATTTATATTGTTAATTTTTACTATGCTAACTTCATCATAGGGTACCGATTAAGGGCGTTGTAGGGGTGCTTAATACCTTCGCTACACGTAGCTGATTCTCGAACCTAATTCTGGTTATCAAGGCCACTATTGGACTTTTAAAAAAACCTTTTCGTTTTCCAATGTTTTGAGTAAAACATTGGTGGCGATTCCATGAACTCATTTTTCTAAACCATTAATTAAGGATTAGTCTGGTCTCTAGGCATTCCTTAATTGATGAGATTTTCAAAAGGATGTCTAAACCATAGGTCGCGAGATCAGAAATTTTCGGGTTGCGACAGTCATGTGTAAAATTCACATGCAGAATTACCCGTTCTTAAACCATAACAACTCGTTCAGGGGTTATATTTTAACCCATAACGGCCATGTTTGGAACGACCCGTTCTTACACCAGAATGGCCCGTTCCCAACTAGGGTTTATAGGTCTACTTAGTAGTTTGGAACAGTCCGTTCTAGTTTGGGAATGACCCATTTTGGACTACTAAATCACCCTTGTTTTAGTAGTTTGGAACGGCCCGTTCCAATTTGAGAATGTCTCATTTCAGTCTACTAACTACGTTACAGAAACCTTCAATGTCTCTTCTTGGTTGTTCCTTGAGAATTCTTCAAGGAGGAGAAGCGGCCAAGAAGAGACGAAGAACAAGGAGGACCAAGCTTCTTGAGTAGAAGAAGCTATCATGCCTAGAACTACAAAGAGGATAGCTCAAGGTGACTTGGAGATAGAACTCTCCTTTGGTGACTTCGATTTAGAGAATGGATTATAAGAAGAAGAATTTTCTCATTCAATTGCCAAAGTGACTAATTACACGTCCAAGGTGAATTTATAAGCTAAAGAAGTGTGCTAGGGAAGCTTGGCTAACCTAAGGTTTGATTTAAACCATGGTATGGTTAATTAAACCTTAGGCGCCAAAATTTGAATGTTTACATTCAAATTTTGGAGCCAAATCGGTCACCCCATGTGCTACTCAATTTGAATGTGATTTGGCATTCATTTGAGAGTGAATTGCGGTCCCATGTGCTTCAGACACATGGTGTGACCGAAATGCACTCTAAATGTAAAGCTAATTACATTTAAATTGAGATGCACTTGAAACTCCTTTTAGTCTAAAATTCAAATTACATTGAAATGAAATTCCTAATCTACTTGGTCAAAATACAAGGCCCACAAATCAAAATTACAAGCCCAATGGGCCCGATCCTAATCTACATTGGCTTTAATGTATAGTCCAACTAAAAAGAACTATGGGCTTGTCCTTAGAAGTGACCCACTCTTCATGCATCCTCTTGACCATGACCTTAGTAATTGGGCCTTTGGCCCATGGGCCTCCATCAAACTTGGTTCAACTGAGAGGTAAGTAAAGTTTGACCAAGGATTGCTTCCACTAAGGAACAAACTTGGACACTACCCGAATGATTTGACTTTTGATTCAATATAGTAACCACTTATGTTCAACTTCTTTTATACATACTAGTAAGATCGAGGTACTTCGTGCCTCTATTAAAAATAAAATAAAATAAAAATTAAGTAATAGATATATGTTGACCTAATGTTATAATTAGTTAATTAATTTTAGGGTCTTGATCTATATTTATTATAAAGGGAATATATTTTGGTAACCACCCCTTTGGTCTCCACTTTTTAGTGGACCATTATAACCCTTAAAATATAAAAAAAAATCTTCATATATCCATTCTGAATAACTATCCGTAACTTTTAATAGTTGTCTATGTGTAACTATTTGAGGCACGAAATGCCTTGACCCCTCTAGTTTTAATAAAAATATTATTTGTTTTCTAACTTTAAAATGATAGGGTATAATGGTCAACAAATTATAGAGACCAATGTGGTTACTAAAAGGAGTATCCCCTTTATATATTAGTATAGATTAATTTTAGGGTCTTGATTTTGATAAAAATATTATTTTTTCTAATTGTTTAAATGAAAGGGTATAATGGTCAACAAAATGTGGAGACCAAGGTGGTTACTAAAAGAAGTATTCCCTTTATATATCAGTATATATATCTAAATAACTATCATTAATTTTCTAATATCTTTTGTGTGTCTCATTAGTAGAGACACAAAGTGTCTCGAGCCCTCTAAAACTTATATATATATATATATTATTTGAGGAATGTTCAAATGACACTGGTGTAACTTTTACTAAGTATTATACCGCTCAATAACTTTATATTAAATGTGAATTTGATAAATCCATATAAAAATAGTTATTGAAAATGATATCCCCTTTATATATTAGTATAAATAAATATAAATTTGGATAAAATACTTTTAAAGTATTTTAAAATGTTAGTTTTAGTTTTTATAAAAATTTAATATTTTTATGTCATAAATTTATAAAATAAAAGCATTTTTAGTTTCTAATAAGAAACTAAAATCACATTATTTTGATAAATGTAAGAACTAAAAATGTATTAATTTTAGTCTTTCATTAGGAAGTAGAAATGTGTGTGTGTTTTTTTTAAATGTAGAGACTAAAATTGTGTTAAATAATAATGACGGAACATGTATTATTATCTTATTCTAATTGTGGATAGTTATTCCTGAATACCTTTATACTAATATATAAAGGGGATACCCTTTTCAGTAACCATCTTAGTCTTTACTTTTTTTTGACCATTATACCCTTTTATTTTAAAAAATTAAAAAAATATTTTTTAATCAAATTTAAGAACTTAAAACTAATGGATTAATCATAATAAATCATAATACCAATTAAATCAATATACTAAAATATTGATTATTAATATAAGATTATTTTATTTATTGATTATTAATTTTTAAAATATTAAAATATAATTTATAAATAATTATGATAAGAAAAAAACTGAGTTAAATAAAAAGTTAAAAGAATTTTAAAAATTTATTTGAATTAAGAAAAACTTATAAAAATGTTCTCACATAAAATAATCATCCATGTTTAATATATAAGGGGTGATAATTAAAATATAAAATAAAAAATATATATTTAGATTTATAATAAATAATTTATATTATAACATAAAATTTATTTTATTATTAATAATTTATTTACATTATTAAAATATAATTCATAAATAATTATGAGAAATAAAAATTAAATCAATTTCTATATATTAAATGTAAATAATTATCTTGTATAAAAACATTTTTATATGTTATTCTTCAATAAAAATGTTTTTAAGTATTTTTTTTAATTTCTTATCTAGACCCTTTTTTTAGTTATCTAATTCTTCAAACACAAAAGATTATCTTTCCCAAAAACATTTTTAAGGATTAGTTTTTAATTGAAGTGATTTTATGAATTTTTTTAACTTCTTATCTAATTATATTTTTTAAATATTTATTTATAAATTAAATTATATTTATATAAAAAAATATCAGTAATAAAAATAATCATGTGTCATAGTTTAAATTACTTCTCATAAAGTAAAAATATAATTTGTGTGTTTCAAAATATAAAATTTTTAAATATGATTTATATATTCAAATGTAGTATTTATTTGTTTGTATAATTGATTATAGTTTTTTTGTTATATATAAAATACATACTAAAATACTAGTCTATACCTATTATAAAGGGGATAGATTTATAACTCTTTTTGGTTTTTGCTATGTAATAGACCATTATATTCCTTAAATATAAAAAAAATCTTATAATTTTTCTAGATAATTATACGCAATCTTTTAATATTCTGTTTACGTATAATTATTAGAAACAAGAAGTACCTCAACCCCTCTAAACTTAGGAGATATGATATACTTATTCTATTATCAAGCAAATTTTATAATTTTTCGTAACTCTCTTCAATAGGTATAATAATTCACTAAAAATAAAAATTAAAAGGATTATATGTTTTGATATCCTTTTTATAATATTTATTTATAGATTTATAGATTCCTTTTTACATAATAAATAAAAAAAATATTTTTCCTTTAAAAACCTAATAGTCGACAGAATTAGCCCGTAGACCTATCCGAAAGCCATAACGACTCAGCAATACGAAATTCCAAAAACGACACATAAAACACGTGTCACCCGAAAATATCTAGGTCATCCCGAACCTTCTTTTCTTTCTGACCTCAACCAACGCGGATTCAGCATTTATTTTAGCCTCAACAAATCCATTCAATTGTCATCGTTGGATCCATTCCTTCCCAACCAATCACACCCGTTGATTATCTCCACTGTCCTCTATATAAAACGATCACAACGCGTGATTATTTGTCTATTCTCATTTTTTTTTCATCCTTGTCGTGTGAATCGGTCTTGGTGCAGTTTTTGTGACTAACCAAACCTTCGTTACGTTCGGTCAGAGTCAATGTTTCGGATCTTGTATCGTGGATTGAACCTCGATCTGGTTATTAAGATGTTTAATTGCAGATTCTGTCGATATGTTTGAATCAGGCAAAGAATCGTTTAAATCGATCAAGAATTTCGCAAAGTAAGTTAGATGCGAATTCTTGATTACATTTATTCTTATTTGAATTTGAATTTCATTTAATCAGTTATGATTTCTGTGATGTTTCAGGTTTTCGTGACGCCGGTGATGATCGTTACTTTTCTTTGGTGGATGTTGATGGTGTCATCTCGAAATAGAGTAATCAACGTGATATTCGCTGTGTAATGATGATGGTTTTATTGGTAAAGTCCTTTAGGAGATTAAGTTATTTACAATTACTGGAGTATCTTGAATTGGTTGCGAGAGAACTGTTTCATGTGTATACACAAAAGGTAGTTGTTCCGTTGTTAATAGACCATTGCCATGTCAGGTGCGCTTGCATGGCTGGTCAAAAAGCGTTAATAAAAAAATTTAATTGATTTTTGTTTGGGGGGAGAGATGGTTTCGAGGGTTTATTCCTTTGATTTATTTTTGCCCGATTCTCTTCTCTCCCCCTCTCGTGTCGTGCTTTTGGTTGCCCCCTTCCCTTTCTCTCTCCTTTTTCTTCTCTCTACACTCTGAATTCTCTTATATTATACTATGTTTTGCGTACAACTGGTTATTGTTTCCGAAACCGGCTCAACCAAACGACAAACGATTGTCAACTCGGCAAGGTATATGATGCTCAACGCACACTTTAATTCATTTTAATTACGTTATTTGCCTCATTTAAATTTACAATTTATAATAATTAACATTATGTCTCGTATGTAATTAATTCATTGTTTTGGTTTTTATTTTTATTTTTATTTTTAAAAATAAAAGGCATTTGGTACAATTACAATTATTATGTTACATTTATGGTCATGGTATGGTTTTATGGTTTCGTTAACAAATCATTTATACAGGCATGCGTTTTATATTTTTGTGATTTGAAATGAATTGAAATCGTTCAATATTATAATCAGTATATAATATAATCTCCTTTAAAATATAGCAATGTATCTTGCACCTGGCAGTATGATGGTTTATGTTCATGTTAAATATTAAATATTTAGAATTGCTACATGTTACATGCTTGTTCATGGTAAATTTTTATGGTTTTATTGGTAATTAAAATATTTTTACATTTTTATAAACATGTGATTTGTATTTTTGTGATTAGAATGAATTGGGATTTTCTTTCAATGAAATGACTCGTTCAATATTATATTTTATAATTATAACTAACATCCGTATACAATCACCTTTAAAATAGAGCAATGCATCATGCGCCTGGCAGTATAATGATTTATGTTCACTGTAATATTTAGCAATTAAAGATTAACTATTACAGTAAATATTAAAAATAGAAATACTTTTTAGTATCAGTTTCAAATTTGTAAATCATTTTGTGAATTGAATATAAGTGGCTTTGTGTTATCTAAAAGTATCTAAATTTTATAATAAAAAAGGTGCAAATGTTTATTGGTTGGAGTTCTCATGCACTATTTCAACCAGCTGCAATATCTAAATCATATGTTCTTACTTTTTCATTCAGTGTAAATGTATATTTTAGTTTATTCTACCCAAATTTTATATAACTGTATTATGATCCATGATACAACTATAAACAGTTGTCATTCTCTCCATGTAAAATTTTGCCTATATCATAATCATTTAAGTTTATTGATGTCTTGCTGCCTCTGTATCATGTAGCTGTTAGTTGCATTTGTACTTGGGTCTTTTGGGGATAAGTGGGAGTTTGTTGTTTTATTATATGTTTCAAAATTCCACCGTGGATAGCTTGAGGTTGCAAGAACAGATGGCTGTAACAGTACCAGGAGTAGATTCAAGGTTACAAGAACGTGCAATTTTCTGGTTTGGATGGTTTGGATCATTGTCAGATATGACTTAAAGCATTTTTGAGATTACAACTTCTTTGAGTGTAGATATCTGAAAATTGAGTCAGGAATCTGGTGGAAGATGAAAGTATTTTTGTTCATCAATTTTTGTGATTCAGTGAACAACATCCTGGCTTTGTTGTAGGTAATTTGTTTTCACTGGAATGATTTTTATTCATTACTGTTTTTTGGAAATGTAACGTTATGTTAATTCTTCTAGCTACTTTTCCAGCAGCCTCTTTTTGAAGTTTTTTGTGTACATGCGTAATTGCTTATTGTTCTTTGTAACAAGGGTCAGTTTCGAATTTATAATGGCGTTCGTTGTTTTGGATTATGCTATTCATTATCATACATACTAATGTTCAAACATCAAGTTATATGCTATTCATTATAATTCCAATGTATAAACACCGATTTTTTCATTAGCTTTCAAATAAAAGTTATAAAACCAAATTGTTCATTATAATCCAAATCATCGAACACCAAGTTAGTTATGATGGCGTTCCTTTCTCCTTGGCCAAATTATATAATTTTGTACTTTTTATATTGCATTTAGAGCCTATATGATTAATCTTAGTGATTGATAATGATATATTTAGATCGAGTGGTTTCTTAACTATTGGTGATTGAAATTGCCTTACTCTGGTGACACCATTTATGCTGTGTTTGCAGGTTTATCGTCATCTCTTGACATTTTGATTCAATTAAGAGATTTGTCTTTGGTGCTTCGACATCAAATGATTGTGTAATGTCCTATCCTGTACTAGCACACGTACAGTCTTGTCTATTTATACAGCGACATATTCCCGCGTACAGATGGCTGTAACAGTACCAAGTGTAGCTTCAATGTTCCATGAACGTCCAATTTTCTGATTTCATAGCCTTGGTCATTATAACTGAAATTCATTCTCTTGTTCTTTAGTTATTGGGAACAACAGTGTTAATCTCTGGTTTGTTTTCTACTCCTTTTTAATTTCACATGGATAAACAGCTTGTTCAGGTCTTTTTTAAATGTTTTCTATGTTGGTAGTCTATTTGATATAGTTTGTCTAATGCAGGCGCAGTGACACATTAATTATATCATATATTATGCCGCAGCTAATTGCTAGTTTGTTTTTGACCTTGCATTATAACATTTGGGCTTATTAGAATTGCTTCTAATTTTTGGGCCTTTCATGCTTATTTGGAAACCAGATTTTGTCGGAAGAGGTGATTTTTGGGCTTAGAATTGAATATATTTTGTTCCGATAAATCCTAATTAATTCTCTGGGAGGATCGGATTATCAGCAATATTACTTTCTTGGCCGATACGGGAAGATGCATTAAGATTGTAACTAGAGTCGATGTTGTTATGGGTTTCTTAGGTTCTATATGAATAATGAAGGAGAATAGTTCATCGCGTGTGTTGAAATAGATAAACCCTTTTAAAGAAGGGCTTTTAGTGCAGCATCACATTGAAGGAAATTACGATGGGTCTACAAGCTCGAATAGGAATGAGCGCCCAAATGCTATTGCGTATGGGAGGTTGGTGGTTCAAGTCCACCTGGATCCGCCTAGAAATATGTTTAAACCTTTTTTTTTTTCTATAGAAAGAAATGGAAGTTGTGGTTATGTTCATGGGAAAAGTAATTGGAAGGTGTTATGGCGCACGACGTAAGAGTGATGGAAATTTAGATTTTTATGGTATAGTTAGATGTAATAATGAAATTCATTAGTGGTTATGAAATGGGAAGAGAAAGTTATGAATAATTGTGTGGTATGTTTTATAGAATTTTCATTAAAATCTTTTATTTTGGTAGGTTCAATGGGAGGGCATACCGGTAACACTGCTCGTGGCTCGTGAACTATTTTAGAAAGCGAGGGCTATCAGTATAATGGGCGCAGCTTGTCACCACCACCTTGACAGCTGGATTTAATATTAAAGGGACTGCATTGCCAACATTATTTTTTGTTGTGAAAATTCAAAGATCTTAACTGAGTTATAGTCTTAATAGAAGCTGCTGGATTTTATTGAGAATTTTGAAATTTAAGTAATTAGGACAATTTTGAAAATGCATGATTTGTAAAGTTAAAAAAAAAAAAAACCCACAAAGTATAACATCTCGGAAGAGTCCAAATGATCCATCTGAGAAATTTCATAGAAGAAAAGAAAGGAACGGTAGTTGTCTTGTCTTGACTATAATTTCTTGCGTAACGAAAACGGTAATCGTTCTTCATGGCGAGAATGAAATTGCTAATCGTGCATTTTTTACATTAAAATTGTCATTTTTAATTTTACTCATTCATCTGTTATAAATGTATATTTGACGATATTAAAATATTACTTTACCCATGAACTACGTCTCATAAAACTTTACCTCTCTAGTTCACCCATAAACAATATGTCACATAAGTCCACAATAGAATTCACCCAATTTCTTCTTTTATTTACCTTTTTACTGTTAGACAGGCACAAGGAAAAACTTGATATTTAATTATGCATTAATTTTTATTTCTCTTTATTATTATTATTAGATAAACACGAGGAAAAACATGATATTTGATTATGCATTAATGAAATGAAATCATAAATAAATCATTTTAATAGAAAAAAAATGCTTTTAATTAATAAAAGGGATTATCACTGTGCATTTGGTGCCTTTGAGTATGGAAAGACAATCAGCTACAACAACTTTGGAGATTAAGTTGAGGAATGGTACCCTGACCAATCAATTAATATATTCACAAAAAAATAATACTGATGAATAGCATTTGATACTTTACTTCCTATGAATGACATTGAATCTTGAACGAAATGCATTTTGTGATCAGATTGAATTTAATAGACACGCTATATACAAATTGTATGTAAGATTAATTTATGAGTGGTCAGTTATTTTAGACGGAATTATTATAAAAAAATGTATTTTAAAAAAGTAATTTTTGAATAAGTAAATAAGATTTGCTAAGATTTTTGGGTTTGCACTTATGGTGATATAGATGGAGCGCACCACCACTAAGTTATATATGTGTCAGCAATTCTATTAGATTTATGTTAACCGATTTGAATTGGAGAGAAAAGTGAATTAGTTATTGTGATCCGAGTTATTTTCTATTTATAATCTGCTGCAATATAAATAGATAGTAATTAATTAATTGTATCTTTTGGAGCATATGAAAGATGTACTTTGAATTAGATTAGTACATAAGTTTTTGGTGTTTTTTTTTGTACTAATTTAATATATCTCTTTTCTTTGCTGTAAAAAAAAAAAAAAAAGAAGTAAATAAGATCTGTTTCTTAAAAAATACATTTTTTAAAAAAAGAATAAGTCGTTTAGACAAATATATTAAAAATAAAAATAACTTATTTTATTAAAGAATTCTTTATGGCAAGTTTAAATAAACGAATTTAATGCTGCATATCTTCTTATACCTTTTTTTTTTTTTGGTACAATCCGATACTTTAATTACCAATATCTGATACTTGATTATGAATGCCTTTTTTATATGATCAGATTGAATAAAATAAAAAAGATAAAAGTGTATCATCATTTTTTATTTGTATATTTTTTTTTATTAATATGAGAATTTTTTCTTTAAAAATTGTCTCATTTATTTGATTTTAAAATAAGTATATCATAATTTAAATTAATTCAGTTAGTTTTTCAAACATTAATGATAAGTTTTTTTTTTTTATACAACAACAAGAACAATTCCAACAATTTTTCTGGTAGAAGTTGAATTTGATTGTAGGTTCTAACTAACTAACTATGTCATCTTATGGGACAAACAATAATCTATACTAATATATAAAGGGGATACATTTTTTAGTAACCATCTTGATTTCTACTTTTTTTAACTATTATACCTTTTTATTTTCTATACTAATATATGAAGGGATATCCTTTTCAGTAACCACCTTGGTCTCCACTTTTTTTGACCATTATACTCTTTTATTTTAAAAAATGAGAAAAAATATTTTTTAATCAAATTTAAGAACTTTAAACTAATGGATTAATCATAATACCAATTAGATCAATATACTTTTATTATTTAATTTTTTTATTTTATTTTTAATAGAGGCACGAAGTGTCTCGATTCCACTAGTGATAAATAAAGTATCTTCAATCAAAGTTGTTTCTTTAATCACATCTTCTAAATGTATAGAATTTAAGATTAATAAAAGTCAAGTACCACTAAGACTAATGGCTTGTTAGTTTTAATAAACTCCTTCTAAAATATTTAAAAGAGAAAAATTAAATAAAAATATTTTTATAAATTAAAATTAATTTATGTATAATTTTTTTTTGAAGAAACTAATATCTAAAAATTAACTTATGTATAAATTGTAACATGGTAAGTTTATTGCAAAGTTTAGGAGACGTTAGAGAGAAGAGTATATAAGGCTTTCTCTGAGAACGGAGTCTCATAAACTCATTCTCAAAGAAAGTTTTAGAGAGAAGCGCTCTGATCTGTGAGCTCCTTTCTCTCCCAAATTTCTCTATTTGATTCTTCTTCTTCTTCTTCTTCCCTATATGACTAATCCCTTCTGTCTTTTCTTGGAATTCAGACTAAGAAGCTTGTTTTTGGAGGATTGAAGTTCGCAAGTCGAGCTTCAGGGAAAATTCTTCTTCTTTTTCTCATTTCTTGGCTGATTTGAGCCAATCTTCAGGTGAGGGGAAACTAGAATGTAGGTTATTTGGTTGCATGTGAGTTTAGAAACTCAATTGGTGCATGATTTTGGGGAATCAATGGCTGAATTGAAGGATTTTCTCAACTTCGGGGTTTTTGGTCATCTTTGAGAATTTGACGATTTTGATGCACTAGGTGTGTGCATGTAGAAATTGAGTGTGTTTCTAGATTGTATGATGATTGGATATCATGTTCTATGGCTTGCATGTTGTGAAATTCTTCTAATTTTCATGTTTTGGATGGAATTTTCTAGGTTTGGGGGCTATTGTTTGAATTAGTGTCAGGTGCGTGTTCTTGGCGTCGGACACGCATTCAACAAAGGCAGTCATTTCCTGATCTTGTCAAGCATGAGGTTAGTCGCACCGGGCGTGATATCAGATAGTGGTTATGTATGGTATTTTACTGATATGGCGTTGGACACATGGTTAGGTGCATTGGGCGTGGAAGCCCTAGGACAGTCGGGTTGGGTTTAGACCGGACGCGAGCTAAGCAGTGGCGAGTGTGAGTATACTTGGTGTTATAATTGAATATGATGCTTTAGCATGTTTTGATGTTTTAGCATGTTTTGATGTTGATGTTGGATCACATATGTATGGTATATGATGTGTGGTAATATATGATTCATATGTATGCTTAGAAAGGTATGTATGAATGCTTTAAAATAAGATTGGATATGTATGTATGTTCCTATGTGGATAATATTGATCATGATGGAGGATTGACCATGTATGATGTATGATGCATTGTTTGCATGTGGTGCCTTATGGCATGTGTCTAGCCTAGGACTAAGGAGAGGGAAAAATATTTTTGAACTATAAGAGCTCACATAGAGTCTTTTGAGAGTGATGCTTTGATTGACCATTGATTTTAGGTGAGAGTGGTGCTTGGATAAGCCACTGGGTTGGATGAGTCTCCTCTAAGTCCTTAGCTAGTGTTGGAGCAGGGTATGAGGACAAGGGTTATTCCCTTAACCAAGTATTGGGGAAGGTGCGTGGTTCCTTGTGGATAATTGGTGGGTGAATTCCACAAGTGACTTGGTAATGCATGCCAAGGTAGTGGTAAGCCTGTACCCAATTATGTTATACCTGACAATGGAATCAAACTTTCAAATTTGTAAATGACTTTATTCAAGGAAACACCTGGGGGGGATTTGATATTCTGATTTGTTGATGACCCAACAGGACGCTTCGGGCGTAAAAGCGGTCGGGGTGATTTCGGTAGGATGAGATGTCACTTATAATGCTCTGTTGTTAAAAAGATCTCATAGGTAAATGTGTGATGACACATTAGATGATTGATAAGTATTGATATCTTTCATGAGTTGCATTTATTTGATGAATGCTGTATGATAGAGTGCATTGTTTGACTTTATGAAAATGATCGATGATTTTGATGATGGTGTAGCATAAATGCTTATTCTTATGATTGTATGGTTATTTATTGAACTCTAACTTACCTTTATGTTTCCATGTGAATGGACTACGATGATCATATTGTGTATGGGAGCAGATCAGGTTTAGGTTGAAGCGGGCTGCTATTGGATGTCAGAGTTTTGTCCTAATGTTAGAGGTACCTTTCTGGGTAACTGGTAAGATGTGCTTGACCGACGCTAGGAGAATATTACTATTATTTGCATGACTATATATACATAGTACTTTTATTTTGCATAGAGTTCTGTAGTTTTATTATAAATTTTATATACATGTTTATATTGTTATTCAGTTTTGTAACGTAGCAGGATTTAATAGCCTAGAACGGGCCGTTCGCAATCTGGAACGGGCCGTTCCAAGCTATTAAAATTACCTGAAATTCGTGATTTAGAACGGGTCGTTCTGGTGGGAGAACGGGTCGTTCCAAACTCTAGAACGGGCCGTTCTGATTGGAGAACGGGTCGTTCTGGTGGGAGTATGAGACGTTCTAGATGCAGAACGGGCCGTTCTAGATGAGTCCCAGAACGGACCGTTCTGATTTCAGAACGGGCCGTTCTGCATAAGGTTTTTACACTTGATGAAGCAGTACTGAACGGGCCGTTCCGGTTTCGGTACAGGCCGTTCTAGCCACTCCGGAAAGTCTATAAATAGGGGTGTGGGCCGTGAGGAGAATCAGAGGTTTCTAGAGAGAAGTTTTAGAGAGAAGGTCTCTGGGTCTGTGAGGTCCTTTCTCTCCCAAATTTCTCTGTATGATTCTTTTTCTCCTCTAGACCACTAATGCCTTCTGTCTTTTCTTGAAATTTAGAATAGAAAGCTTACTTGGGTAGATTGAAGTTCCAGGTTGAGCTACGAAGGAAAATTCTACTTTTGTTCAGTTTTTGGCTATCTGAGCCAATCTTCAAGTAAGGGAAGCTAGACTGTTTGTTGTTTAGGTTGCATGTGAGTTTAGAAACTCAATTGATGCATGAATGCTGAGAATCCATAGACGGATTGAAGAAAATCTTATTTTTGATGTTTTGAGAAAAAGGACGATTTTGATGCATAGGTTGGATGCATGTGAGATTAAGTTTATTTTGAGTTATAAGGAGTTTATGCATTGTGTTTTGTGTTTGCATGTGGCTGAATGTGTTGGTTTGAATGAGAGTTTTGAAACTCTCTGACTGGGATTAGGCTGGGCACAGGTTGAGCACGCCAGGCGTGGAAGAGCTTAGAGCTCTTGGGTTGGTGTTAGGCTAGGCGCGAGATAACTACGCTGTGCGTGATTATATTTATAAATAATTGATTTAAATTGATGTTTATGCACGTTTAAAGTTGAAGTTTTAGATCATGTATGTATGATATATGATGTATGGTGAGGTGTGATTCATATGTATGCTTTGTGATGATATGTATGAATGTTTGAATATGATATGACATGTGTATATGTTCATATCAAAATGTTTATTGATCATAATGGTGGTAGACCATGTAGGATGTATGATGCATTATTGCCTGTGATGTCTTATGACATGTGTATGATTGTTGATCATGATGGTCCGTAGACCATTATGATGTATGATGCATGATGCACGTGATGCCTATGACATGAGTCTAGCCTAGGACTTGAGGAGAGGAAAAATATTTTCGAACTGGAAGAGCTCACATAGAGTCTCTTGAGAGTGGTGCTTGGATAGGCCACTAATATATGAGAGTGTTGCTCATGGAGGCCACTAGAGGTAGGAGAGTGGTGCTCAGATAGGCCACTAGGTTGGGTGAGTCTCCTCTAAGTCCTTAGCTAGTGTTGGAGCGGGGTATGAAGTTAAGGTTTATTCCCTTAACCAAGTACTCGAGAAGGTGCGTGGATCCTTGCGGATAGTCGGTGGGCGAACTCCACAATTGACTTGGTTAATGCATGCCAAGGTCGTGGTAAGCCCGTACCCAGCTGTGCTATACCTGACGGTGGATCTGGACTTCCAATTGTGTAAGTGACATCATCCGAGTAAACCCGAGTGAGGATTATATCATGTTTAGCTGTGACCGAGCGGGCGCATTGGGCGTGAAAACGGTTGGGGTGGTTTCGATAGGATGTAATGTCACTTATACAACTCTATTGTTACGGAGATCTCCTAGGTGTATGCGTGACGACGCATTAGATGATTGATATGCATTGATATCTGTTATGAGTTGCATGTATTGCATGATTGTCATGATGATGAAGTGTATGGTGTTTGACTTCATGTTTGATGAATGGATGATTGATTGAGATGGAAGGTTCCTTAGGGACTTGATTGGGATGCATTTGTAGTATAGATTTTATTTTGTACTTGTATGATTAATTTTTGAACTCTAGTTTACCCTTCTGTTTCTATGTGATGGGACTGCGATGATCATACTTGGTATGGGAGCAGGTCAGAGATAGCTTGGAGTAGAGGTGATTGCTACGAGACGAGGAGTTGAGCCTCGTGTTTTGAGTTACTATTTTGGGTAACAATTTTTGTATGTGCTTGACCGACACTAAGGAATATTTTGGGATGACTGTACATATATGGTGCTTTATTTTGTATACAGAAACTTAATTATTTTGATCTTTATATTTATGCCTATATGTATGTGTTATCCAGTTTAATATTTTCTTAGTTAACTAGTTGTAGTGCGATTCCACTAAGTGTAAAGACCATGGCGGGTCGTTACAAGTTTAGTAGCTTCTCTTAGTTAATTAACATAGTTAGTGTGATTGCATAGGGTGTAGGAACTACAACAAGTTATTACATAAATTATTTTAACTTGTAAAAATATTAATTTTATTATTATTATTTTTCTTCTTGTACAAGTATATATGAAGTAATTTAGCAATTATGTCCTTGATATTTTAAGATTTAAAGTTCTATGTCTTTTACTTTGCTCAAGTAAAACAAGAAATTAAATGTTCTTAATATATAATCTAATTTGATGCATCTTTATGTTATTAAGGTCAAATATATTTTTTTATATGAAATTTTATTGTTTGTATACAAAAAACGTTATTTTTTATTGGCCGTAATTTGTAAATGTAATTTTAAATATAATGTACTAATTTGGGAAATAAAAATATCTTAATGAAATAATTTATTTAATAAAGTCTAATCGACGAAAATCTAAAGATTATTATCCAAAATTGAAAGTTTTGTAATTCTATATTATATCATTGTTTTCTTCCATAAGACACAAAATATTTATGCATAGAAGTTGTAACAATGTGCATTTCCTCTCTCATATAATATATATATATATATATATATATATATATATATATTTAAAAAATAAAAAATAGATTAGATGAGAAATTAACATTTTTTCCTTAAAATGTAGAAGAATTTTTTTTAAAAATATTCTCACGCAAAAAATAAGTTCGTAATTAATACATAAAAAATTGATTAATATCAATAGATATTTTTAAATATATAAATTATATTTTAAATTTATGATAAATTTATATTAGATTATTTTTGTTTATTAATAATTTATTTAAAAATAATAAATTTTAATTTATAAATAATTATGATAAATAAATATTGAATTAGATAAGAAGTTAAGAAATTATTAAAAGCTCTCCCTTCCAAGAAAAAATTCCTTAAAAATGCTTTTATCAAATAGTCATTTATGTTAATATACAGAAGTTGATATATAAAAGTTGATTAATTTATAAATAATTATGATAAATAAAAATCAAATTATATAAGAACTTAAAAGAATTCTTAAATATCCTGTAGTCCAAGAAAAATATCTAAAATTACTCATGGGCAAAATAGTATAGTCATTTGTGTTTAAATTATGGAGGTTGGTAGAAATTTTAAAAATATAAATTATAATTTGAATTTATGATAAATAATTTATATTATATTATTTTATTTATTGATAATTTATTTTAAAATATAAAAAGTTTATTAAAAAATATTATATACATGATGAAAATGAATTAGATAAGAAATTAAAAAGATTTTTAAACTTTTTTTGTCAAAATCAAATTCCCTATTAACCCTCTCACATATCTTGATATGTTTATATATCTATTTAAAGATAATACAAAAATATTATCTTTCATTATTATTTTATTTACATAATAAACAAAAAATAACATATAAATTATATTTTAAATTATGATAAATAATTTATATTATAACATAAATTTATTTTTAATTATTAATAATTTATTTTAAAATATTAAAATTTAATATATATTAACAAAATCTTGTGTAAAAATATTTTAGGATTTTTCTTATAAGTATTTTTAGGCATTTTTTTTGATATGAGAATTTTTAGATTTCTTTTACCTTTTAACTATTTTATTCATTTATGAATTAAAATTAGTATTTTTAAAATTTGTTTTCAAAATATTATGTCATAATATAAACTAGTCATAGGCTAAATTTTATTATATATAGCTAAAATTTATAATAAATTATATAGAAATAAATACTATTAATTTAAATATATAAATTATATATAAATTTGTGTAAAAATATATTTTAGTATATAATTGCATTTTAAATTTATGATAAATAATGTATATTTTAGTACGAGATTAATTTTATTTATTGAAAATTTATTTTAAAATATTAAAAACTAATTTATAAATAATTATGATAAATAAATTATAAATTAAATAAGATATTGAGAGAATCTTCTTGTAGAAGAAAAACTCTTAAAATATCAAGATACTCCTTCATATTTTATATAATTATTTATCATACATTTTAAAATATGATTTATATATTTAAAAAATATATATTTATACAAATGTTTAGTACAATTTATATATATTATTTGTTTGTTTATAACAAACATTTAACATGTACAATTCATACTAAAACACTAGTTTAAAATAAAAATGAAAAGATAAATCATAATAGATAAATATTAAGAAAATTGATATTTAAATCTAGATGTATTATCTGAAAATAAATATTTACATATATTTACACATATTTTAAATAATATATTATGTATTAAAATAAGATAATATGATGAATTATTAAATCAATTTAGAATCATATGAGAATTAATATACATGATTTTTAGTTAAATTTATGAGATTCAATAGTTAAATTGATTAAATTTGTATTATATTAATTTTTTTTGAAGGTATAAGATTTAATAAAATTTTGTCTATAAATTTATCTATACCTATTAATTATATAAGAAACATGAACATTTGTAATCATTTTTCTATTTCTATTTTTTATTATACTATTATATCCTTAAATGTTTAAAAAAATAAAATATCATATTTTCTTTGAATAATTATCTACAACCATATAATATATCAATAGTCCGTGACTCATATATTAAATTTAACTTTATTTATATTGAGAATTAAATTATGTCGTGAAAAATAAAAATTTAAAATCTAAGAAATTTAAATCATTTTATCCATACAAACTATTTTTTAAAAATATTTAAACAAATTATTTAATAAAATAATATAAGTTAAATTGAAAATAACTTAAATTTTCAAAAATTAAAATTTTTAAAATTTCTCGCAAACAAATCCTAACGACTTAATTGCGAAGTTCCAAAAACGACACATAAAACACGTGTCAGGCGAAAATATCTAGGTCATCCGGAACCTTCTTTTCTTTGCAACCGCAATTACCCTACCCAATACTAGGCATGCCGATTCAGCATTTATTTTTGCCTCAATAACCCACCCAATTATCACCGTTCGATCTATTCGTTCTTATCAAATCACAGCCGTTGATCATCTCCTCATTCCTCTTATAAAACGACCAAACCGCGTAACATTTTTCCCATTCCCATTGCATTTCATCATCGTCGTGTGAATCGGACTCGGTGCATTCTCTCTGACTCAACAAACCCTCGTTGCGTTCGGTCAAAGTCAATGGATCGGTTCTTGTATCGCGGATCGAACCTTGATCTGGTTTTTAGGAATGTTTAATTGCAGGTTCTGTCTACGTTCTCGAATCAGGCAAAGAATCGTTTAAATCGATGTAGAATTTCATCAAGTATGTTAGATATACCTGTTTGAATTTTTTTATTCCAGTAAATATTATTTGAATTTCATTAATCGGTTATGATTTCTGAAAATTTGTTAGGTTTCGGTGGCGCCGGTGATGATCGTGGCTTTTCTGCGGTGGATGTTGTCGATCTCGTGTCGAAACGGAGTAATTAACGCGAGATACGTTGTTTAATGATGGTTGTATTGGTAAATTCCTGTAAGAGATTATGTTATGCGGTTATTGGAGGTTCTTGATTGTTCTGTTGTTGATGGACCTTTGCCATGTCAGGTGCGCTTGCATGGCAGGTCAGAAAAGCGTTAATAAAATTACTCTGTTTTTTGTTTGGGGGGAGGGATGGCTTCGGGGGAGTTTTGTTTTCATTTTTTTTCACCCCGATTCTCTTCTGTCCCCCTCCCGTGTCGTGTTTTCGGTTTCCCCTTTCCCTTTTTCTTTTCTTTGCACTGTGAATTCATTTATATTCTTAACTGCTCACTATATCGGAAACCGCCTCAACGAAACAACACACGATTGGCAACTCGGTAAGGTACATGGTGCTCAACGCACACTTTAATTTATTTTAATTGCGTTACATATGAATTACCGTATACAATTTTACAATCCATAATGATTAACATTATGCTTCGCATGTAATTAATTTATTGTTTTGGTAATTAAAATAAATGGCAATCGGTATAATTGCTCCATGTTATACATGCATGTGTTTTATATTTATGCAGTCATTCATTTATTTATTTTAGTGATTTGAAATGATTTTGGAGTCTCTTTCAATCAAATGATTCTATCAATATTATAATTACAAATGTGTACTTGGTTGATTTATTGTTTTGGTAATTAAAATAAAAGGCAATCGGTATAATTACTGCATGTTACATGTTTGTTAATGCTATGATTTTATGGTTTCGTTAATAAATCAATTATTTACATATATACAGACATATGGATTGTATTTTTGTAATTAGTAATGAATTGGATGTCTCTTTCAATTAAATGACTCGTTCAATAATATATAATCAGTATACTATCTCCTTCAAAATATAGCAGTTCAGCTTGCGCCTGGCTGGTTATGTTCACTATAATTTTGATTAATTAAAAATTAAGTATTTTGCATTAACAATAGCACTAATTTTTAATATCAGTTTCAAATTTGTAAATTCTTCCACAATTGAATCAAAGTGGCTATGTGTCATCTAAAAATTTCTGTCCATAGATGGGTAATTTTATAATAAAAAAGGTGCAAATGGTTATTTGTTATTGAGTTCTCATGCGGATTATTTCAGCCAGATGAAGTATCTAATCTCATGTTCCAACTTTTTCATTCGGTGTATATGTATATTTAGGTTTATTTTTTTTTTTATATATATATATATATGTATATGTATATTTATATTTATATTTATTTATTTATTGTGATCCATGTTACAACTACAAGCAGTAGCATTGGCTATTCAAAAAAAAAAAAAAAAAAAAAAAAAAGACACCGCTCCCTTGA